ACAAATAAAAAAATGTGACAAATAATAAAAAAAAGTGATAGAAAAAGTGACAAACGTTAAAAAAGTGACGTGAACTAAAAAAAAAAGTGATAAACGTTCAGAAAAGTAACAAAATTTAAAAAAAAGTACAAAAATTCGAAAAAGTGACAAAACACCAATCGAAAAAGTGACAAACCATTCATTCACAACTTTTCTTTTCACAAAATCTTACAAACAATCATAACCCACAACTTTTAGTTCCAAAAGAAGATAAATCACACAAACTTATCTTCTAAACAAACAATTATGCAAGAATTGAGTTATTGTTCACCAAGAACCACCAAAATCATACCACAAATCCTAATCTGAACTATACAATGAAAAGGAGCCATTTCACGTGGTTATCAATTGAAGCAATTGGTTGATTATCCACTGTTATTCCATCATCAATTGAAAATCCCCTCAACAATTGAAATTCCCTCGGTTAACTAACATTACACCACCGCCTAAACATCCATCGCTGCTCCCACCAAGTCCACCACCACATCCTGCTCCTGCTCCTCTACCAAGTCCACCCCCAGCTCCTCCTCCCAGTCCACCGCCAGCTCCACCTCCCAGTCTTCCACCAAGCCCACCACCACCTCCTGCTCCTCCATGGTTGGGGCAGATGATCTAGGATTTTTCAAAACATCCATAATTTTAATGTCTCCGATACAATTCGAGAAATCCTAATAGCAGACCGGTGTCGTTGCCTTCAAAAAATTATACGACAAAAAATTTCAGTATTCGGGATTGTTAAAAATGGTATCTATCATTCACATAATCCGGTCAGATTAAGGTATCTACCATTTACATAAAACTGAAAATGGAATAAACAAGTACCTTAATTATTCTTTCACACCGGTGATTAAATATATAATTGAAAATTGTATCTACCATTCACATAAAATCAGTCAAATTAATGTAGGTATCTACTATTCACAAAACCAGTCACATAAAACTAAAAATGGAATAAACAGTGATATTCTTATGAAAACCAGCAAATGTTACAACATAAAATCGAATAAAAACCATAAAAAAGTTTAAACAGCGAAAAATCTTAGCTACCTTCGGCTTATAAAATTTTGAAGAAATTTTTTCCTTCTTCCCAAAGATCCTTCTTTATTAAAACTTTTTTCCCCCTATTTAACCCATTAAATTCCCTTTCTCCAATCACATTTGTTTGAGTTAGGTGACGGTTTGCAGAAGCTGAAGTCAGACTCAATACGAGTTTCGGAGTGAGGTGAGGTTTTTACAATTTTGGGCTTTTAGGGGTTCGGTGTTAAACAGGGTCCTAGGAGAGGAGACAAAGGAAGATAGCAAAGATGGCGCAGCGGCGAAGACGGAAGAAAACGGCAAAGATGGAAGTTTCTCTTTGCTTCTGGAATTGTATGTTTGGTTGAGAGATGTGAGAGAAGAGGTTTCTCTAGAGGGTGTTGAGATTTGGGAATTTTAGTTAGGACGTATTAATTACGGTTTATGTGAGGTTTGATTCATTTTAACGCATTAATCTAATTTTTATGAGTTTCAGAGTGTTGAGCCTAATTTTCCCCTTGTAAAATGTTGAAAGAAGTTCAGTAGTCCACCCTTCACTTTCGTTTCCCCCAATTCCCAATCATTTCGTTTCCTCCAATTCTCAGCGACTGAAGACTAGCGACTGGCGTTTTTCCCCAATTCTCCCCGGTGTGCGTCAAAGAGTTCATTGTCTTTGTGGCACGGACTGTCGCCAAGCGGACCCCACCCGACGAACGCCAGTCCGTGAAGCACTAGGTCCGATCCCTATATTCTATTTTATAAAGGGAAAAAAAGTAATCTTTTCTGAGTTTTATGTTTCTTGAAAATCGTTGTTTATTTGAATTATAAATTTACATGATCCTGTTTTTATGGTGTTTAGACACGAGATTTCATTACTTTGAGATTGTGAATTTTCCTTTTCTTCTTCAGAAAAAAAAAGAGGTGAAACTTCACTTGTTTGATTATTAATTTCTTTTATGATGGATTTTGATTGATTTCATTTATTATAGATGTATGTGTGGAAGCATTTTTGGCATAAGTTTTGAGATTTTTGAATTTCTTTTTGTTTTAGTGGGTAGTAATTGTCAGATATTTTATGATAATCTAGGGAAAATCGTTCTGGACCTCTGGTCCTATCCATATTTCGATCCATATTTATGCATTCTTTGTTGGATTCGGAAGAAGATATGTTGAGATATTTTAAATGAATAGCTCAAAATTTTATTGAAGAAAATGTTGAGGCAAAGAAACAACGATTTCTATTGAAGAAAATGTCGAGGCAAAGGAAGTAAGTGTTGAAAAAGATGTGTTTAATGAAATTACTAACGAGATTATTATACGGCGTTTTCAAAGTATGAGTAACCAACAATTGTAAAAAAAAAAAATATTACATTTTGAATATTATCTTTGACTAATTTGAAATTATTTTTTACGTAATTCTGTCTCGTCCCCCCTGAAAAAAATCCTTTTATTGTTTAAAATTATTTTTTACGTAATTCTATCTCGCCCCATCTGAACCATAATCCTGGATCCGCCCCTGTGGGCTTATATCTATAGTAGCATTAAATTGAAAAAGTAAAGATCATTGTCATCTGCATATAGATTAAATTGTATTCTTGATTAAAATTTTCTTTGAAATCCACATAATTGATATCAAATTAGTAATTCCAAACAGCACAAATATTGTTTAAAGAGAAAAGAGAGATGTTTTTGCTAGAGCAATTAAAAGAATAGCAAGATTGGGTGATAAAAATCGTTGATTAATACGTTTAGGCTTGAAAATCCTGGCAAGTGACTAATTATCACATTAGACTGGCTAGATCTATTAGTGATCATGGTGTCACAGCATAGCCTATCATGACAAAATTACTGTCGACAAGTACTACAACAAAATTAGCTTTTTGCGACATTCACTTACGACTGGTGTATAAAACATGTCGTTAAAATACACTATCTATGACATGCAGAGGCGGATCCAGCACCTAGCCAGCCCCCACGGCCGCCCGTGCTGGATCCGCCGGATCTTCTTCAGGTAGATGCAAACTCGCCGTCCTCCGGGAGGGAAGAAAGAAATGGAGAAGACGCTGACTGAAAGCCCTGGCGAATTTTTTTTTTTTTTCCCTTTCTTAATATTTGTTCCTTTTTTAAAAAAATAATGCCCAGCCCAATCATGGGTTTTGCTTGCAAATTGCAATTGTAAGTCCATTATCCACAAAACCTAATACAATTCTCCGTCTCCTGCTCCTCCCTCTGCTCTGTCATACATATGATATGGATACACAAACAATGGCGTTGGATGTGGAGGGGATGATGAAGGAGCTTTGGGGGACCTATGCGAGTGGGAAAACGAAGAGTTATGAGTGGAGAGTAACCCAGTTGAGGGCTCTGTTGAAAATAGCCGATCACCATGAGAAAGAGATAACTGAAGCTCTCCGTTCGGACCTTAATAAACACGACCTCGAAAGTCGAATCATTTGTATACGAGGTTAGTTCGACCATTCAATTAGGATAATATATTGGCTTCTTGTTTTGGGATTTGATGTTCTATAAATTAATGCTTTCAAGTTCTGAACCTGCTCTGTGTTTGGTAAACCTGCTCTGTTTTTTACCCAATTAATTTCTGAACCTGCTCTGTTTTTAGTGAAGACAAATTATGGGTTCCTTTATTTCATGTTTTTTTTTACTCTAATTCTGTACTAAATGCCATTTTTTTTGGGTGGGAGTGAGGGAATATTGGGTTGTTTTATTGCATACGATTCTTAATTCCTAGGACTACTGAAATGCTTTTGTGCAGGAGCGAATCCACTGAGCATTATGTTTTTCTTCTTCTTCTTCTTCTTTTTTATTTTTATTTTTTTGTGATTTTGTGATTTAATTCCTATAAGTTATGACTTACGAGTTATAATTTTGATTTGTGGATTGTGATTTGAGAATTTAGGTTTT